ATAGATATTATCCAAGGGTAATTTGGTCTCTCTAACAACTATATATACCCTGATTTCTTAACTGCAACAATTATTAAAGGTCAAATTAATTTTTTATTTTATTAGACACGGTGTTTGGAAAAGTTTCATTGAGGAACACCACATGAAACATTGCAAAGCGCCACTAGATGTAATCGTATACAAAGTAAGTACTAGCTACATTTATATATATATATAATTCAATTAACACCGTGCATGCTTTCAATTCACCGGATCTTTTTTCTCATAAAAGTGGGTTCTGAAGCAAGAACAGGGAAACAACTACTACGGATACTATGTTTGTGAGTTCATCATGACGTACGCAAAAATAACTCCTGAAGAGATCCTCAAAGTACGTTATATAAATATATTCATATATTCACAATTTCTTTTATTGCTCATATATATAAGTAATCATGTGACCAACACACATATATATATATATTAATACTTTTTCTTTAACTTTTATTGAAGACTCTATGGTTGAAGGAAAAAGTCATACGACGTGACCAACTGAAAGCAATTCAAGAGACCATAGCAGAATTTTTTAATGACCAGGTCTTAAATCCCGTCGGCGAGTTCTACAATGACATGAACGAAACATGGAAGTCAAACCAGATGGAGTGAATTTGTTATCCTAAGAATATGATAGACTATACAATGCAAGCTTTATTTGTAATATATATACACATATTATATGTACATAAAATAACGTATAATATATGTATATGCATGTAATATATACGTTAGTTTCATACTTTAGTTTGTACAAAATGTTCGAACATATATTATAAACATGTAGAATACTTATATTATTAGCAACGTAGAATGCGTATTCAAAAACCTATTCGAAAACCAAAATAAATCATCAATTAAAAATAGAAACAAAAACAAAAGAAAAAAAAAGAAAACCTTTAGTCCCGATTGGTAATACCAACCGGGACTAAAGGGCCGGCCCATGTGGCCAGGCTGGGAGGCCTCTTTAGCCCCGGTTGGTATTACCAACCGGGACTAAAGGAGGTGGACCTTTAGTACCGGGCGCGAAATCGGGACTAAAAGAAGGACTCTTTAGTCCCGGATTCGTGCTCCTATTTGGGAAACCAGAACTGAAGGGGTTTTCCAACCGTAAGTACAGCTTATTTTTGTACTAGTGTTATCCTTCTATCTTATACGTGCTATATATTGTTTAGATTTTCGTAGAGATATAACCGGACTCATGAACAAACCCGTTTCCATTCATTCTTTTATATACTTATTGACATTTCTTAGCATTACTCTTTACTAAATTGTCATGCCAAGTATGATGCCAGAAATACATGGTTGGTAATTATTAATGACACTTATAAACTTAAAAAAATTATATATGTTAAAATAAAGTATCTGTAAGCGCACAGATAATATACCATTGTAGCATTTCTCCGAAAGTATAGCGAGTATCGTTATTTATATTTTATCCACAGGAAGAATCTATGGGATTGTTGGCATAGAGATATTGACAAATATGTATACTTATGATAAAACCACTCTCATGCTATGCGCGGGGTTAAGTCAAATGATAAATAAATAATAAGTATGAAGCATTGATAATAATTCCAGAGATAGAAATAGAGACTCATAAAATATAGTATGGCTAGCCAAGAGATTCAGTAAGAGCAAAAGATTCCTAAGTCATTCCTTATTTACTAAGTCTTTTGTACATCCAAATATATACACTCTCATTTATAGCATAATTAACTCTGGTTCTATGTATAAGGAACATTACTAAGGAAGATCAAGAACAAAGCTTGTCTCCCTTCGCAACCGTGTTCTACTTGCTCTACAAACGGGGAGTAGACTACAAAGGACTCAATGGGAGTGTCACATCCGCGATGTACCACATGACCCAAAGTGCAGAATGCATCCGCAGGTAAACAATATCTAAGCACCATGTTTACATAATGTCGACCACTTAACCCACGCGTGTCTTGGGCTAAGCGCTTTGCAAACATACGCATAAACTCATCATCAATCACAGCTATATCAAACATATAACTAGAGTAAACTTGGAACATAATAAATAACAAAATAATATTAAAGTAGCACAAAGTCATAAATAAAAAGATACAATGCTTTACCAGTCTTTAGACGGCAGATCCAAAATCCTAAGCAATAGCCCACACTCTACTTTGAACCTTGCTAGCTAGCCTATACTAGAACTTTGAAGAATTGGAGCTCTATTCTCTTCTTTTTGAAAACTCTAATTTTTGGTCTGATCTTGACTCGTAGTAGCGTGCTCTGGAGGGGGACAACGGCTAGTTATATAGGCCGAAGCGTCAATCCTGAGCCCTCGGATCAAACCGACTTGAATAAATGGCATAGATGTAATCTAGGAGGTGGTAGAGAACTGACGTAGCGACAGGGGCTGACATGAGGGCCCTGGGGGGCCGGGCGGCCTACAGGTGGGGCCGGCTATCATCCCCTAGGGGTCTGCCTCGGGGATGCCTTCTGGTGGTCTCTGGAACCTTCTGGAGTTGTTTTCGTCGCGGATAAGCGCGATTTTATTTGACATTTTGATCCCTTGTCGATTTTCTGGAATAACCCTGCTAAAAATACAGATTCTCCAGAACTCGTTTAAATTGTCAGTTTAAACCCCTAAGTCTATGTTGGTGATTCTTTTTATGTATTTATTCAAGTTATGTTGACGGTTTATGATGGATGATAACTACCGTCAACAAACTCCTCCAAGCTTAACCTTTGCTCGTCCCTAAGTAAAGCCAAACTTAATAATGGATCATGAGTTGCTGCGATATTTTCACTCCTCAAAATACACATGCGACCAAACAAAAATTCTCCTTCGGATTGAAATCCACCGATCTGACTTTGAAACTTACATATATTATCTTCAACCATGAGGTAATATGTGCGTGGGATAGGGTAACCAAGGATTTGAATGTACAAACAGAGCAATATTACTAGCATATATAAAAACGTAAAACCAAAAAAATAAGTTGAGGAGCCACATGTTGCCGCTAGTTTGTAATGTATGTCCAATCTAACAATTAACACTGCTCAACTCATAGCTACTTTGTAAGCTTTCCATATCTACATGTCACCGTGCTTCCTGGCTTCCGCAACGCGGGCCTCGTTGAGACCTAGCTATGTGCCCACCTATCCGCTTATTTGTCAGTTTGACCTTGGCCACACTACACAACCTTGCTCTCACGTCAGACCATCTATCCTCTATTGTGCCGACCTATCCTTCTATCGTATATACTTGCCATATCGTTTAGATTTTCGTAGAGATATAACCAGACTCAGCGGATAACCCCGTTTGCATTCATTCTATATATACTCAAAAACCGGATTTCTAATATGAACGTGAGATATAGATATCAATATCCGACGTATCCGGCTCTTAGATCCGAGAAAGAAATACAAGATATGAATACAAGATATTGATCCGTATCCGGCTCTTAGATGCGAGAATTTTTTTTGACGCCAATTATAATCAAAACCACTCCCTAGTAATAACCAAATATACAAGGCTCGAGTAAGTTGCCTCTTGTGTAAAAAAAGAACACCCAATTCGCAAAAAACAAAAAGAAAAGAAAAGAACGCCCTCGTTGCAAGTCTCGTCCAACAAACATGTGGTACACCAGAAGAAGTCTACCACAAGTAGCATAAAACCCCCCGTAAAAAATACACACCACTTGGAACAAACAAGTAGACCCGGAGGCCGCCGTTCCGGCCTCTTGTCGCGGAAGCAGAGGACTCCTGCTCCTGCTGGACACCCTACCAAACCATGCCATGGCCAATTGCCATACCAGCAGCTTCGGGGCCGGCTGCTCTGCATCCTTTCTGACTTCCTTTTGCGGCCCCGGCACACAGGAATATATAAACAACCACCCGAGCAGCAAACGAAAAAGAAACCCAGCCTCTCCTAATCGAACCCTCTCCCACGCCCCCCGTCTCGCCTCCCCGCGCAGCCGCCTGCCCCACGCGTCAGCCGTGGGAGGCGGGTGCCCCGCTGGTGCGGCGGCCGCCGCTCTTAATCAAATCCAATGGAATTCTGACGTCCGCAGGGAGGGACAAAAAAGTCGCTGCGTTTTCTCCCGCCTCACCTCTCTCTCTCCTCTTCCTCGCTGCCTGCGAGCGCTTGGGCTTCTCTCCCCCCCTCTTCGCTTCCTGCTCCCCACCAAACCAAATCCCATCGCGAGATAACAGAACCAGCCCAACGGATTCTTTTGGCTGCGGGTGGTGGCGGTGTCCGGTGGTGTTGGTGCCCTGTTGCTAAGGCGGGCGCTCCGCGGCTCTCCTCGTCTGTCTCGGCCAGGTCCGCGCGCCGCTCGATTCGACGGATTCGAGCTCCGGTGCGACGGGGAGACGGGCCCGTGCTGCGGACGGCGCCCGCGGAGGTGAGTGTGCTAGTGTTAGCAGTGGAGCTGCTGCGGCGGCGGCGGCGTTCTGTCGCGTGGTGTTTCTGTTGAGGACGACGGCGTGGTAGGGAGGCGGGGGGCTGCCGCTTAATTCCGCTTAATTTGCCCTCTCCGGGGGTGCTGGTGCGCTCGGGGTGGCTGCAATTTGGTTGCTCTCGGGTGTTCGGGGCGAGTTCATGGGTGGATGGATTTCGCGGGTGTCGCTTTGCTTTTGTTGCGGGGTGGATTTGGGGAGGGCAACTCCGCTCTCGCTGCTTCGTGTCGTGCCGCCGTTCCCAGCTGGCAGCACTCGATTCCGGGGAGCGGTGCGGGACGGACGTGTTCTACCTTAGCAGATTTGCGCGGTGGGGGTGTAATGGCGTAGATCCCACACTTGCGTTGCGTCGCTAAATTGCAATCTCTACTCTGTTCGCAGGGGATGCTCCACCCCCGTCCCTGCTAGATTCCCGCGGATCTCGCGGGCGTGCTGGGGGTGAGACGATGGCCAGGTGAGTACGATCTCCTAGTGGTTGGTGCGAGTGGTGGACGACGACGAGGAAGATGATGCCGTCGGGCCCGCCGAACCCGATGGGGCCCGGGCAGCCGGTGGGCGGCGCGGCGGCGTCGCTGTTCCGGACGAACTCTTCCCTGCTCAGTGGCGGTGGCCAGCCGGGGATGATGGGCGGCGGAGGTGGTGGTGGTGGTGGCATGCTTTCTTCACAGTCGCCCTTCTCCTCCCTTGTCTCCCCGCGCACGCAGTTTGGTGGCAATGGTCTGCTTGGAGTCCCCTCGAATGTCTCCTCGCTGCTGAACCGGCCGCCGTTCGGGAACGGTGGCCCTATGCCGCCGGGTCCAGGGTCGATGCAGGGTGGTGGGATGCAGATGAGTACGCTCCAGCAGAGAGCTGGGCTGGATGGTGCCGGCGATTTCATTGGCGCGGGAGGGTCGGATCCTCTGTCGTTCCCGTCTTCCTCACAGGTCAATTTGGGCAATCAGATGGGGTCAGATAATCTGCAGGCGACTTCGCAGCAGCAGCAGCAGATGGATGCAGTGCAGGATATGCAGCAGCAGCAGCAGCAGCAGCTACCAATGTCTTACAACCAGCAACAGTTGCCACCACAACATTCACAGCAGCTCCAGCAGCCACAGGCTGCCGTGAAGTTGGAGAATGGAGGAAGCATGGTTAGCATCAAGTCAGAGCAGCAGATGGGGCAACCTGACCAGAATGGTCCTGCCCAGATGATGCGAAGTGCTAGTGTGAAACTTGAGCCACAACAGCTGCAAGCCCAGATGATGAGGAGTTTAAGTTCAGTCAAGATGGAGCAACAGACTTCAGATTCATCAGCATTCTTGCAGCAGCAGCAACAGCAGCAGCAGCAACAACAACGTCATTTGTTGCAGCTGACAAAGCAGATTCGAAATTGTCCAGACCTTGTATCAATGGGTGGACCAAACACAATTGCAAACCCTCAAGCTGCTGCAGCTGCTCAACTGACCCTCTTGCAGCAGCAACGGATCCTGCATATGCAACAGCAGCATCAGCAGCAGCAACAACAACAGATTCTTAAGAACTTGCCTTTGCAGAGAAACCAGTTGCAGCAACAGCAACAGCAGCATCAACAACAGCAGCAACAGCAGCAGCTACTTCGTCAACAAAGTCTAAACATGAGAACTCCAGGAAAGTCGCCTCCTTATGAGCCAGGAACCTGTGCAAAGAGATTGACTCATTACATGTATCATCAACAAAACAGACCACAAGTAAGTTTTTTTTGTGGCTTGTTTGAAGGAGTAATTTAGTGTTCCAAGCGAAAGCCAGGTACTAACAACATAGTATATCTCACCTGTTGTTCTGATTCAGGATAACAATATTGAGTACTGGAGAAACTTTGTCAATGAGTATTTTGCTCCAAATTCTAAAAAGAGGTGGTGTGTCTCGCTTTATGGAAGTGGTCGTCAAACTACTGGAGTTTTCCCTCAGGTCTAGTGTGCCTGTTCCCATCGAATCTTTGGTTTTTTATTTTTATTTTTAAATGTTGAATCTTCATTATTGAACTTGGGAATGGTCTAGCATCTGAAAACTTTGCCTTTGAAGTTATTTTAGATTTTTTCATACAGTTCTTATCTTTCAGGATGTATGGCACTGTGAGATTTGTAATCGGAAACCTGGCCGTGGTTTTGGTAAGCTTCATAATCTTCAGCAAAGCTATCTCTTAATTCTCTCGTGCTTTATTTTGATCCTGTATTGCTTTTGACAGAAACAACGGTTGAGGTACTACCGCGATTATGCCAAATTAAATACGCCAGTGGTACACTGGAAGAACTTTTGTACATCGACATGCCTCGTGAGTCCCAGAATACGTCAGGCCAGATTATTTTGGACTACACGAAAGCAATCCAAGAAAGTGTCTTTGAACAATTGCGTGTTGTGCGAGAGGGGCATCTAAGGATAGTTTTTAATCCAGACCTTAAGGTATTGTGGTTCAGCTTTCTAGTTTTTTTAATATTATTTCAAATTAGTACCTTTGATGCTAAAGCACATTCTTTCCTATCTTCTTTTTATTAAAGATAGCATCTTGGGAGTTTTGTGCTAGGCGTCATGAAGAACTTATTCCACGGAGATCTATAATACCACAGGTAAGATGTATTTCAAGAATATAGACAGCTCAGGTCATAGTTTATTCATAATTTTGGATTTTGGTAACAAGGGTTTTCACAGACTTTGGCGTCCTGATCTTTATATGTAGGTTAGTAACCTTGGCGCGGTTGTACAAAAGTACCAGGCTGCCGCACAAAACTCAACGAGTTTGTCTGCTCAGGACATGCAGAATAATTGCAACTCGTAAGTAGATTGGCCCTTGCCGTGCTACATACTCCATTCCATCATCTCGCTTCTTTGCTACGATCAAATTGTTTTCCACCATTTTGAACATCCATATCTTGGTTCTCAAACTTAGTATCTACCCTGGTGAAGAAGTTGATTTAAGGGTGGACATACTTCTAGACTTCCAGATGCATTAGCTTACACAACAATTGATTCAGATTGTATTCAGCCTGATTGTTGGATAGATTAGTGATAGAGGTTATGGGTGTTCAGACCTTCAACTTCTACCTTCTCATTGGAACACAAGGACATGAAGCAAATGGGCTAGTGAGGCAATTTGTCATTGTGGTGGGTGTTGGTGATTGTTATTCCCGCACCCAGAATTATAAGTTCATCTTTGAGTATTATAATATAGTCAATTTTGATGTGTAAGATCAAATTTACGTATGTCAACATTAAACCAGCTTCTGGAACAGAATAGTATTATCATTGTTGTGAAAACTTTGATAGCCCAATTCCCAGGTATTATCATACTAATATCTTTGTTTCTGGAGTTAGCATGGAACATTCGTAGTGGTTCTAGACTATTATGGTACTAGCAAAGCATTTGAAATGTCAAGTAGCTCTAGAGATACTGTGATGTGAAGGGTAGCTGTCCAGAATTTAGAAATCAATACCTAGGTGGCTGTCAGCAACCCACCCAATGCCCAGGTATGTAAATGCATGTGTGCTGAAAGTGTGCAACCCTTCCAAGCATTAATGGGGCATTGGCTTTCAATTGGGCATCACACCACTTTATGCTGTAAGAGTATCTCCAAGAATAGTCTCACTCTTCATTAGGGTAATATACCGTGTACTTCAGAAAGGACGAGGCACTCTTGAGAGTCTCAACCCAACCCAAGATCAAAGGGCTCACCAGTGTCATCGATAACTCTTATGATTGTCGACTTCCATGGTCAAGTTGGTACCATATTGACGCGCACCAGAAAGTGATTACTGATTACCACAGCCCTTATTAGTCTGTTGGCATAGAATGACTATTTGGTGTCATAAATGCTGACAATCTTCTCTATAAACTTGGTTAAACTTAAGATAGTTTGACTTATGACAAACCTAGAATATCAAGTTTTTTATTTGGGACGGAGGTACTAGTAATTACATGCAACAGAAAAGAAGTTACTGTATGCTGATAAACATTTGTTACAATATTTGGCTTATATGCACTATGGATATCCTGCTTTGAATTGATTATGATTTGATTTGGGCACATTTATCTTTTGCTTCAACAATCATAACTTGTGTCTTATCTGGGTAGAGGTATCCGTGCTTCTTAGTGTAGCTCATGAACTGCATACATTTCTTGCTGAATTTTTACTTGCACCAAGTCATCACTGTTTTTGAACTTTTCGAGTTAGTACAAATTCTCTTAACCTAATCTTGTGCTTTAGGTTTGTTGCATGTGCCCGACAATTGGCCAAAGCATTGGAGGTTCCTTTAGTAAATGATTTAGGGTACACAAAACGATATGTTCGCTGCCTTCAGGTAATCTTATCTAGAACAGTTTTTATTTGTGCTTGTTCTTAGATTATCCAATTGAAGTTAATATTGCGTTGTATGCAAAATTTCTAATTTGGTCCATATGATGATTCTGATAAATTGTTGTTGCATATGTTGATTTCCGTTTTCTTCTATTTTAATGTTTGTTAACTTATTTGATCTTATTGAGCTCATTTTAGGATGCTGACTTTTATTCTTGTCATCTTAATGCTGGTTCTTCCAGATTGCTGAGGTCGTAAATTGTATGAAGGATTTGATTGATCACAGCAGGCAGACTGGATCTGGACCCATTGGTATGATATTTTGATTTTTTTTTTGTGAGGACAATCTCATTATTCTCATCTTTCACAATACTTCTATTAAATTTTTTGGTGCTGTGTTTTTTTATCGTCATCGGTGCTGCTTTGGATAGTAATGAATTGCTGAAACTCAAATTAGGAGGGTTTGACCATGTTAGGTGCCAGTTTGGTTTGTAGCTGCGTTCCTTGCAAGATTCCTTTTGCAACAACCTGGATCCACATGCCTGTATCCAAAAGTTGTTGCAAGGTTCTCCTAGTTGATCCATATTTTGGCATATAATCTGATAATCTAACATTAGGCGAGTTGACTAAACAATGTGGTTGTATCAGCAACCTGTGTATTATGTGCTTAATCACCATAACTTGTCAATTAGCAAAATCAAAGTGCATTTTATTGGTCTGGTCACCACTTACAATTTACCACTGGGATTCAATGTCAGTGATTTCAAACTTTCCTGACCCCATCTGAACCAGTAACTTGCCACATTATGGCCTTTGCTCTTTACTATGTATGTTAATAGCATATATCTAGGTGCATAGCAAAAGTTTGTCTAAAAATATCAAAATGACCTATCATTTAGGACGGAAGTAGTAGTTTCTAGCTGTATGGTATGCTTTCCTGTTTTTTTTTTTAACACTGTTTCTGTTTATTCAGATAGCCTGCATAATTTTCCTCGGAGGACTCCTTCAGGGGTCAGCACCCTTCAACCACAGCAGCAGCAAACTGAGGAGCAGCAGGCCATTCCCCAGAGTTCAAACCAGAGTGGTCAAAATTCTGCTCCTATGGCTGCTGTGCAGCCTTCTGCCTCTGCCAATGGTGATGTGACATCAAATAATTCTCTCAGTTGTGCACCTTCTACATCTGCACCTTCACCGTCAGTTGTTGGGCTCTTGCAAAATTCAATGAATTCTAGACAAGATCATCCAATGAGCAGCACTAATGGTGGCCCATATAATGGAGGCAATGTGGCTATTCCGAAGGTTATCTCTACAAGCTCACTACAGTCAAATCCATCTACCTCTTTCCCTTCCCCAGCACCGACAACATCCAATAACAGCATGATGCCTGCTCCTCAAAATACAAATCAACTAAGCTCCCCAACTACATCATCAAGCATACCTCCAATGCAGCCACCTGCTACTCGACCTCAGGAGGCTGAGCCAAGTGACTCGCAAAGCTCGGTTCAGAAGATCTTGCAAGATTTGATGTCATCACAGATGAATGGTGTTGGCCACTCGGGGAATGATATGAAGACACCAAATGGACTAACCCATGGTGTCAATGGGGTTAATTGCTTAGTTGGCAATGCTGTCACGAATAACTCAGGGATGGGAGGAATGGGATTTGGCGCCATGAGTGGGTTCGGTCATGGGATGAGAACGACAATGACAAACAATGCGATGGCAATGGGTGCAAGGATGGGAATGAATCAGGGTGCGCATGACCTATCGCAATTGGGTCAGTTACACCAGCAACAGCAGCAGCAGCAGCAGCAGCATGACATAGGAAACCAGCTGTTGGGTGGATTTAGATCAGCAAACAGCTTCAGTAACATTCAATATGACTGGAAACCCTCACAATAGAGCAACCAGAAAGCATAGAGTTCAGTGTGATGATGCATCTGCCCTTGCTGGCAATGCGTGTGGAGCATCCACATTTATGGTGCCATAACCTCCCCTTGGCCCAATAGCATTTGGGCCTTTGCATTAATGCTGCCATGAAAGGGCACCATAAGCGATAGCAAGCATCCCGGCTGGTACATGTAAGTCTGTAACTGTCAGTTTAGCTATCTCGTGTGTTACTCCCTCGGTTTTATAACATTTGTCGATTTTACTGGGAGTTGCAGTTCCGCCATGTGTCACATTGTTTGTCCACTCTTTACCCCTTTAATGCTGTGAAAAAAGGTTAAGTAGCTATAGCATGTTATAATAGGCGTATGTGTGGTAATTCCTTATTAGCTCTTAGATTTAGTGTTTCCTCTGTCTATTTATACGGTCATCATCATTGACATATTGTGGAATGGAGAGCCAGAGTTACACAGGATTGCTTGCTCCAGCTATCTTTGAGAGAGATACTCTGAAAGAATTCGAGCCTCCTGCGCCTGCTACCATCTATCAGCCCTATTGTGCTTTGTGGTACGAAAATGAAGTTGTCCCTCGCCTTGTACCATGTTGGATGACATGTATCTTATCCTCTGTAATTTACCACCTCTCTCTCCTTACGAAGCTACTGATGCTGATATCCTCTGTCCTCCCTTATGGATAATTCTCTCTGCAGTTTTACTGTGCTGTACTGCTGTATGATTGGCACACTTACTAGATCGAAGTACCACCATGGAATGGATGTTCTCTTAGTCCTGTTGGCCGTTGCTTTAACTGATTGGGAGGGGAACTTGTTTTTCTCTGCAGTTAATTTACAGTGAAGTGTATACGGTCTCGAGTCGACGTGCATGATAAACACAGTTCTGAGTTCCTTCCGCTCTGCGCAACTGTTAACGGTGTCTGAAGTCTGAGCGTAAGATATGTATATAAAAAAAGTCTGAACCTACGCATCCCATGTCGTCCGTGCAGTTCTCGTGTACTGTATATATACTTTTGGGCTGCAATGTTTGGTAGCGCAGCAGGCGGTACTTTTACGCCTTGGAAGGCAGTACGTAGCTGCCAACGCTGGATGCCTGGATCGGCCACAGAATAGTACAGTTCCTGCATTCAATTGATTTGCCCTTCTTTTTATTGCTGGTAAAATATTTTTATTGATGTGTCCAGGGAGAAAAGGGCAGACCTAGTACCAGA